AGAAGCAGAAGAAGAAGAAGAAGAAGAAGAAGAAGAAGAAGAAGAAGAAGAAGAAGAAGAAGAAGAAGAAGAAGAAGAAGAAGAAGAAGAAGAAGAAGAAGAAGAAGAAGAAGAAGAAGAAGAAGAAGAAGAAGAAGAAGAAGAAGAAGAAGAAGAAGAAGAAGAAGAAGAAGAAGAAGAAGAAGAAGAAGAAGAAGAAGAAGAAGAAAGAAGAAGAAGAAGAAGAAGAAGAAGAAGAAGAAGAAGAAGAAGAAGAAGAAGAAGAAGAAGAAGAAGAAGAAGAAGAAGAAGAAGAAGAAGAAGAAGAAGAAGAAGAAGAAGAAGAAGAAGAAGAAGCAGAAGAAGCAGAAGAAGCGGAAAAAAGAAGAAAAAGAAAAAGAAGAAGCAGAAGAAGAAGCAGAAGAAGCGGAAGAAGAAGAAGAACAAGCAGAAGAAGCTGAAGAAGAAGCAGAAGAAGAAGAATAGATAAGTAAGAGTGGCAGCAGAATATGTTTAAGAAGGGATGCGAAGTAAGAAGAGACTTTTCAAAGCCTTTGCTGCAGAGACATGACGTGTCCCTTCCCTATCCAACGTCTCATACGTGAAGATTTGCAGCACGTATGCTGAACTTAGGCATCATGTGATTAGTCAGTAACGACACGTAGACTTTCCTATGATATATATCTCCGCTTTATTTCGTCTGCCTTTGCTGCATCCAGACTCAATTTCTTTGTTAATGACAAGGACAAACATTTTTCGTAATTTAGGTACGTTTCATACCATGTAAGTCGTATATTGGGACTCGCAGTAGTGTAGCGGCTAGCCGTTTGTCTGCTCATCCGAAGGTCGTGGGCGCGAGTCCTGATTTTACCAGACATTTTCCAAAAAATGGCATTGGCTCCCAGGTCGACCCAACTTTGAATGGTTACCAGGAGGAGTCCTTGAAAACAAAGACGGTCGGTGTGATGCTCACTACATCACGCACCAAGTGCCGATTCGTCTATGTAATATAGTCAAGTCTTAGATCCTCAGTATGCGTGATGGCGTGGAAAATGGTTCTTGCGTCGTTTCAAATTCTATCAGACACGACTTCAGTAAGGATCCTACTTTAGTATGTGTACTATACATTTTTCATTGACGCATGGGGCCTGTGAAGATAGACTTATATGTTTATAAACCAATACTTTAGTTTACGCTGGTAGTCTATTTAAATAGTTCGACGCCCGACTCGCTAGCGTAGTTGGCTAAACCTGACTTCGCGACGACCGAGTGACGAACTCCTGGTCCGGGTTTACGCCCGGGGTTAGGCAGAAAAGCCACTTTTCTCCCAGATTTATCAGGGAATCAAGGCTGAAGAGTTGCGATATCCACAGTACCGAGCCAAAGGGTTAGGAACTCATGGTTTCTGGTTATTAATTAGTAGTTTTTCCAAACAAAGTAGGTCAGTTTTCATTAACAACTTTGTTGGGCTGGTCCACTTTCATGCAAGTTACGGGTGTGTCCCACTATCTTGTATGGTTTCCATGATGTCTTGCATTAACGTTTTCATCCCGAGAAAGAGAATGCCTGTGACATAGGTTTCAGCACTCTCTAGAGGAGTTGTGTTAGACTCAGTTTGTCGATGTTTTTGGAGGGGTAAAAGCGCTGCCGTGTTGAAATATAGAACACGCGATATCAACGGTATTGCGGAAAACCCCGTCACTTTAAGGCAAGATAGTGTGGCTCAAAGTCGACCAATCAGAAGTAAACTAGGCTGAAAGTCGACGAATTAGAAGTAAGTTAGTGTGTAAGTGAGTAAATGGGGAGACAAACATTATACCGTTTCCTCTTTATAATCTGCAACCGTGGTTGTTTGTGTCTATTAATGGTGTCTATGTTCAAAAGCAGTGGGCATGTTCAGTACCCGAAGTGCTGTTCAGTAACATAGGTGCGTTTTAGTAACATAGGTGCGTATCAGTAACATAGGTGCGTTTCAGTAACATTGGTGCGTTTCAGTAACAAAGGTGCTCTTTAGTAACATTAGACAAATTCTCCGCAGCTGGAATCGAACCCGACATCCCGGCATAACAAAGCTAGTTCGCAACGTCTAGCCACAGACGCTGACCTTAGCAGATTCCATTAGGGTTAATCCGTTATTGTATTTTAGTATTTTAACAACTGCTCTTTTACTTTTTTTTTTTTAAATACCGAGTCTCTTGTATGTATGTCTGTGTGTGTGTGTCTATGTGGGTGTGTGTGTGCCTGCGTACGTGTGTACATGTGTGTTTATGTGTGTTTATGTGTGTGTGGGTGTGTGTGCGTGCGTGTGTGACTGACTGACCCACGTTCAACCTCCCGACAGGACCACACAACGAGCGACAAACCCACTGTGACACAAAGTGAGAATCTCTCGTGCGCATGCCCAAGAAACACCTTTTACCGTTAGGGTATACCCTGGGACTCTGACGACAGATGGGTGGGCGCTTTTCAAATTACAAGAATTGCCTCCGATACATATCATACATAAAACTACAGATGGTAAATGTGGTTTACCTACTGGCGTAAATGTGACCTTTTCTAGGAAGTTGGAAACCACTGTGACTGGTCCAGCAAACCGATAGTGGTTTACTTAGTGCTCGTAGAAAATAAACAGATCTCAAGAATCATTTTCGGTCATCGTCTAACCGGAGTCTATTTCGCACACCCTAGAGAGGAAGTTGCGTTAAACCAGTCTGAACTACAGGATTACGGAGTGAACGACATCTTATTTAATTGTGCAAGAGTTTATACGTGAACAGTTAATGCGCAATTAGAACAAATAGAGCAATGTCAGAAAAGTTCTACATTACATCTGGAGTGATCTGGAGTGAGACTGGGGTGAGTTCTGTCACCACTACTGTTCATCACATATGTCGACCAAATTTGCAAATCAGCTAATACCAGCAAAGGGTACAGCATCGGAGAATTACCAAATACATTGCATTTCGCCGATGACAATCGTAGCACTAACAGCAGTACAACTACAAGACCATATTAATTAATAGACTCCACTCAGAATGCGACAACTATGATATAAAGATCAACGTAGACAAAACAGAAGTGATGACAACCGTCCGTTTTAGGATGACATTCCACCCCCCCCCCCCTTTTTTTTTTTCCAAGAGGACTTAAGAATTAATATAGAAATACAACAAAGATACGATACAAGCTCACAGGTTCTGACACCGATGCATATGCCAAGTTTGTGTATTTTTATGCGTCAAAGTACACTTGGTCCTGCAGAGAGGCGCTGTCGCATTTGGAAGTGACAGTTCGATTACTTGCATTATAATTTTAGCTTGCGATTTTTATGTAGTCTAGGGCCTCCCTTCTCCTTTCCTTCTCTTTCTCTCTCTTTTTCTCTCTCTCTCATTCTCTCACTCTTTTTCTCTCTTTCTCTCTCAGTCTTTCTTTCTCTCTTTCTCTTTCTTCCTCTGCTTCTTTGTCTAAGTACCGATCCTCTTCTGCGTAAACCCTTGTCGTGGATCACAGCCAAACTGCAATATCTGCTCCATTCGGCCCAACACACAACCCTTAAAAAATTCCCTATTAGTCGTATTTTACGACAGGCTCGAAAGAAACAGTAACTCTACCCCCCCCCCCCCTTCCTTCCCCTCTGCCTCCAATGGATCTCCGGAACCAACCACAAGTGGAGAGCGAATCAATACATTTAAATGTCTTTATCTTCTTCTTTTCATGCCCTTCATTCCCTAGTGTAGAATAACTCCTCAACCAAATATGTAGCATAGTTCCCTTCTCCTTGTGTTTGGTTTACACAACGGATCAACATCATGGCACAAGGGATGTAGCCCATAAGTGCTCCGTTCTACTTCTAACTCAAGCCTGAGTCCGATAAATCTCAGCACAGTGCACGAATTCCGTCTAACACCCACAAGGACCCTGAAATACTTTGGGCAGATTTTTAACTCTTAATTTTGCTCGGGCGGCCCTGTTAGGCTACTCATTTCGATTTCAAAATGCCAATCGACTTTTGTTACGTGCGCAATAATACACACGGGCGTCCGATTCAACTACCCAGAGACCAGGGTAAATTACTAGAAGTGCATCTGAAAAAATCCCCACCTTTATCGGGGCCTGAACCCGGGACCTCCAGCACTTGAGGTGGACGCAATGTCTGGAGACCACTCATGTCTCTTTGTGCATTTTGGTCTGTATTTATGTCTACGGATCGGCGTCTGTGGTTTAGGCGTTGCGAACGCGCATGGCAATAACGGGGTGCCGGGTTCGATCCCAGCTACGGGAATTGCACCTTGCGTTGGTTTCGACAGTGGTATCGACAAACCGACCATCCAGAAAACAGTAACAAACTACTGCACGAACATTTGCCTACAAAAACCACAGCAGCCCAAAGATGCTGGAGTTCTGCAACGTCCTGTAAAGGATACGCAACTAACTTTTTTTTTTAAATGTCTATGCTTCTGTGGGTTCTACTGTAAAGACATTTTAGTAATACTGTTCTCAAGTTTCTCTGGAGCCCTATCCAAAACCAAAGTATTTTCCTCAAATCTTCTTTCACTGTAATTTGTTTAGTTCTTTTTCTAAGCTCCACATTAATGATACTATCAAAGCGTTTAATTCCCTAAATTCTGCACAAAAACCAGTTAATGAATGTAGTTTATTATTAATAATTTCCATGTGCATTGTTGCGCACGTAGAAAATCCCGTGGTAGGTGGAGATCGCAAAGAGTGCTAACAGCGCTGCCCGGGCAAAAAAATTTTTTTTTACATTTCCCCCCAAGTATTTCAGGATCCTCGCCGGTGATACAGAGTCTGCGCACTGTGCTGAGCTTCTTCGGACTCAGACTTGAGTTAGAAGAAGAACGGAGCACTTATGGGTTACTACCCGAGAGTCATGATGTTGATCCGTTGTTTAAACCTCAACCCTTGATTTAGTCACTCTCCATGTCCAAGCCTGCGACAACAGTACTGGATTTTGCTTATCATTCTGCTTATCTGTTTATATTAGAATAACAACTTAGAACATGGATGCTGCAGGTTTTCGATCACACGGCAGGGAAATGCTCGATTATATTGCTCACTATCTAGAAACAGTCCATCTTAGACAACCTCTGCCAGATGTCCATCCGGGTTACCTGAAGGATCTGGTCCCTGATGAAGCACCATTGACAGGGGAGAGCTGGGAAGACCTCAAGAAAGACTTGGATAGGGTTGTCATGCCAGGGGTAAGTGGTCGTTTGTGACTAGTGCCTCCTTCCACCAGGGCCGGGTTAAAACTCTGTTATACCTTAAGCACCTAGAAGATGTTAGTGCAACTCCCTTCGCCCTCCCCCGAGCCGTGTTAACAAAGTTATTGTCCTCCTGGGAAAACCAGGGTGCTGAGATCACCACGACAACCACTCATGGAATGAAATGGGTGAGATCCACGATAATCTCCTCAGACGAACTAGGTCACGTTCCATTGATACATTTTTTAGAATTTTCTGCTGTCAGGGGGGGGGGGGGGGGGGGGGGGGGGGGGGGGGGGGGGGGGGGGGGGGGGGGGGGGGGGGGGGGGGGGGGGGGGGGGGGGGGGGGGGGGGGGGGGGGTTTGGGGGGGGTTTATGTTGTTTGCTTTCTGGCTTGTCTTGCGTTTATGTTTTTTTTCCCTCCAAAAAAAGAGAATGCCTGTGACCTGTGACTTAGGTTGCAACACTACCTAGGGGAGTTGTGGGTTAGACCCAATTTCTAAATGTTTTTGTAGTGTTAAAAGCGCTGGCGTGCTTAAATATTCGACGCGCGATCAATGCATTGCCAAACAACACCCTAGCAGTGTGCGATGGTCAACTGGAGGTCAACCAGTTAGATGTGAGCTAGTGTGTAACGTGGGGGAGATTATCGTGGATCTCACCGTGAAATGTAAGTGGTTACCTAACATACACAGATCAGCATGAGATCCCTATGCTCGCGGGGCCCTGGGGCAAGTACCTAACAGGCCCATAGGTTAAGACGGCATTTGTAACACTCATTTAGTCAAAATATCAACAACAATAAACCATGCCATACAATTTTTATTATCGAAATTAAACCAAACTTAGAGTAACATTGACAATAAAGTCTATTGTGTGTATGCTTCCACTTTATTTATGTTAGAAAATATGTCTCTAGGTTTTTTTTTTTTTTTTTTAAATTGCAAAGTCTTTGATCAGATCCTGAAAACGAATCTTTTTTAACATATTTGCTTCTATACTTAATAGAGATGAGGCATGCAACCCAACCTGTCGTGTTGCACTGTTGTTCTGAAGGAACTTTTGTTAGAAATTTCTATACATACGCTCAGCTTTGAGGCAAATGAAAATTTCAGTGGCGCCTTTCCCTTTGTGATGCCCTAAGCACGTGCTTAATGGGTTACTCTGACCCTGATTCTACTGATATGATCAGTGAGCATCCATGTTCATCGAGCCTGTGATTATTAGGAATGACCACATCATACAATGAGTACCGCTTCGTGTATAAAAAATATGGACTTAGCACCATATGTCTGATGTCTCAGTGGCATGCAAAGTGTCCGACTTACAAACTTTCTTTTTAAAAAAAGGGGTGTGTGGGGGGGGGGGGGGGGTCTAGGACCCCATTGGATCTGTAAGGTGTGGTCAGGCCTGGCACTGCAGCCAGTAGTGTTGGGAGACAGATAGCTCTCCTAGGAGGGTGAAAAGTGGAAATTAGTATCCTGTTGCTGTCCCGGGATCGCACAAGCCAACCCCACCTCCTCGTCGTGCAGACTGGAAACTGTATCCGTGAGGATTCAGGCCAACGGGGATATGGCCACCTGGAGAGGAGTGGACCCCGCCAGGTTTAAAATATTGACCGAGTCGCACAATGCTGTTGACAAATAGATATGACCATCAGTTCTTGCCAAGCAGCAATGCCAAGCAGCAAACATTATGGAAATCTAAAAACATTTTATGCAAAACTAGGATTCAATTGCCCAGAGCACTAGATATTAATACATTTACATTTGGCTGTGCAACATGGACCTTAACAGCTGAACTTGAAAGAAAAGTACAAGCATTAGAAATGCAATGTTTCAGAAAAATTCTTGGCATATCATACAGAGACCAAATTTCAAACAAAGACGTTCGCCATAAAATTCTACAGCACATTAACAACTATGAACCTCTTTTAACTACAGTGAAAAGTCGAAAATCAAATGGTATGGACATGTAATAAGATCTCACGGCCTCTCAGAAACAATACTGAAGGGCTCAGTAGAGGTAAAAAGGAGAAGAGGCAGACCAAGAAAGACCTGGTTACAGAACTTGACTGACTGGACAGGCCTCAGGCATGCAACCATGAAATTTATCGCAACTGACCGCCAAAGATGAACCAACGAAACATAGAGTTACGGGATGATGATGATGATGATGGCTGAGGGAAGAGGGGGGGAATAGACCCACTGCTCCCTCCATCACAAGCATGCTGTAAAAGCTGACTAATTAGCGGTTTACTACGAAGTCGGAGTGCATTTGTTTAAGAGGCGAGGAACCAACAGTCTGCATACAAATATAAGCACTTGTACTTGAAAGATAACATGAGACAAAAACACCAGAGAATCATGAAACACCTGTATTCATTGACAGGAGACCACTATGTAATTTATGTCTGGCGGACGATCTCATTTCTAGTTCCCAAGAAGAACTCCAAGAACTTGGTACAAAACTACAGACAGTCTGTGGGAAATATGGCATGAAGACTGATACCGAGAAAAGCAAAATATTGGTAAATAGCCACGACAATCAAGTACCTACCAACATACAGATAAAAGGGAATTATATAATGAAGTTGAAACAATTGAATACCTCGGCTACCACATATGTAACGATGATAGTTGTTCCCAAGAGATGGTGATAACTCTTGATATGGCAACAGCTGCGATGTTACAGCTAAATACGATGTGGAAGACCACAATCACCATAGAAGTTAAAATCAATGTACACAAATCACTTATATTGCCTATCTTCTTATACGACGTGACAGTTTTATCCTCGCTGCCGAAATGGAAAGGGCGATTCAGATTTGCAAAAATAAAAGATATAGTCGAATTTTACAATGTAGCTATTTAGAACATAAAACCAAAAATTGTGTGAGAGACAAAATAAACAAATTTGCAGGACATCAGGGACCTTGTTTGCCTGTAGTGAAACACCGCAAGTTAGTTTGGTTCAGCTCAAGGCTCGTATCCAAACGTGTGTATTAATTAATGTTTGCGTTAAATCATTTTTTAAACTATCAAAACCCTAATCTCGTTGAAGGTACCAACACTTAGTTTATTTTATGGAAAATTTACAGTTTTGAATTAGTGAGCTATCAGAAGAAGAAGAAGAAGAAAAAGAAGAAGAAGAAGAAGAAGAAGAAGAAGAAGAAGAAGAAGAAGAAGAAGAAGAAGAAGAAGAAGAAGAAGAAGAAGAAGAAGAAGAAGAAGAAGAAGAAGAAGAAGAAGAAGAAGAAGAAGAAGAAGAAGAAGAAGAAGAAGAAGAAGAAGAAAAAGAAGAAGAAGAAGAAGAAGAAGAAGAAGAAGAAGAAGAAGAAGAAGAAGAAGAAGAAGAAGAAGAAGAAGAAGAAGAAGAAGAAGAAGAAGAAGAAGGAAGACGAAGAAGAAGAAGAAGAAGAAGAAGAAGAAGAAGAAGAAGAAGAAGAAGAAGAAGAAGAAGAAGAAGAAGAAGAAGAAGAAGAAGAAGAAGAAGAAGAAGAAGAAGAAGAAGAAGAAGAAGAAGAAGAAGAAGAAGAAGAAGAAGAAGAAGAAGAAGAAGAAGAAGAAGAAGAAGAAGAAGAAGAAGAAAAAGAAAAAGAAGAAATAAAAAGTATTCTTTGGTCATGCGATGTAAAGAATGGCTTTGAAGAACATCATGATAGATGCAAACATCAACTTTAGAAGAACGAACGAACCAATGAACTTAATTTTCTAAGGGTCACAAATTAGGCACGCAGGCCCCTCTTACATTCGGCCCTTCCGGTCAACCATCTTTCGCAAAGGCATAGGTAGAGGCATAGATATAAAGCTCGACGACCCGACGCGATGGCATGGTGGAATATCATCAGTGGAGTTTATTCAGAATACCAAGGATCGAGATCTGTGGAGAAACATGCTTAAGCCACCTGACAAGTCACACGATAAGGATGCTGAAATGTATGAGCGATTTCCCCTTGATCTACACTGCTGTAAATACAGCCCATATCCTAAACCACCTACCCTTACGGCATGCTTTTAATGTTGATAACAAAGCCTCCGATATGATCTTTTGAACAGGTAACACACTGGCACAGCCCTCACTTTCACGCCTACTATCCAACAGCAAACTCCTATCCTGCCATCCTGGGAGACATGCTTTCTGATGGCATTGGCTGCATCGGATTCTCATGGGTTGGTAAATGTGGATTGTTTTGTGTATGAGTATCACCACTATCACCACCACACCACCATCATCGTCACCACCACTACCACCACCATAATCACTAGCATCATCACCACCATCATTACCATCATCACCACCATCATCACCACCATCATCACCACCATCATCAGCACCATCATCACCACCATCATCACCACCACCACCATCATCATGTAGCAGTTCTTTCGATCGAGTGATCAATTTATTTTACTGATTAACATCTCAAGGATGAGAATCAAACTGCCTCAAATCGCGGAAACCCCGTGCAAACATATAAGGCAGTGACCAGTATATTGGGCACCACAGAACGGTTATGAAATAACCGTAGTCGAGGGTGGGTCATTGTTAAAGTTATCGCAAATACTTTTATGCCGGGTCCGTTCCGTAAAAAAAAAAAAAAAATCTCGACCACTTTCAAATATCAGGTCGGTCTACTTTGCAGAAGGTAGCTCTTATAACGGCAGGCTGGAAAATGACTTGGTACTTTGACAAATTCCCTGCCTTGGATCTTTCATGTCTATGGTGTTCTGGACGTTTTACTTTATTTAAATAATTCTTTTTGCTATACGGAAAAAAAAAAAAAAAAAAAAAAAAAAACTCAGCTCTTAGGCAAACGAAAATTTCCATGGCACCTTTCCCTTCATGATGCCCTATGCACGAGCTTAGTGTGCCTAATGGTTAATGCCACCCTGCTCGGCAGTTATGATCAGTGACAATTAATATTCATTGACTCGGTGATTATTGTCTTTGTCTACAATCGTCCTGCTTAAAAGTAAAGTACAGTAAGATGAAGGATCGTTTGCCACGCCTTCAGGCGTATTGGGTACATAGGTGTAAGCGGGCTACGACAAATTTAACTTGATTTTAGTTTGTACGACAAATACCGTGTTTTAGTTGATTGTCAAATGCGAAGAAACGTTCCCACTGTATATAAAAAGGCCAGTGCAATCAAAATCGGGGTCATTTTAGCTTCCGGACTAATCCTGTGGTCTCTCAAGGGCTGGAAACCCACCAAGCTCTTGTGGCTCTGCACAGTGGGCTAAACAGCATGGGTACTTTGTTTGCAGTGGATGGTCGGTTACCTGGCTGATTTTAAGGCGGTGGTATGTTTCCATTTTTAGCTCTGAATTTGTCTCTTGTTAAACTGAGGGCAGATATATCATGGTGTATCATTGCTCGGAGACAGTTCATTTTATTAGTGAAATGCTTTGCACGTTGATGATCGTTAATGTTTTGTTATTTTTGAACAGCGCTTAGTATTATCTTATGTTCAGTGAAATAAACAGATGTTGAATGTGGTGATTATAGTTCTAGTTGTTTGATTAGAGTTAGGACTGGTATTTTCTTGTGTCTAGTTTTACTGTTTCTGCTGTCTAGACTGTATGTCTGGTCTATGATATTTCTGTTTCTAGTCCCCGCCTAACGAACTCTGTGTCTTTATTTTTCTTGGTAATTAGGGCTTTTCGCTTCTAGTACATATGGCTAGACCTATATTTTATAGACCGATCGGCCTTTGGTGGGTGATGTGGTAAACATCACGCCGCTGCATTTACTTCCCGGGACTTTACCTGGTACAAATTTAGGGTTGGGTCCAATTTTGTAAAGGCGGAAAAGAAATTTCGGCTGATTTCGGATTTTAACCCACGACCTTCGAACCGACAGGCGAACATCTAGCTGCCACAGTAAAATGGCTCCTCCTGAGAAAAATTACGTCTGTTTCCCTGCAAGGTCAAACCCTCTGTTCACTCTCGGCCGAATCAGTCTCTCTAAGTATGAATATTCAGTCTGTTCTGTTTAAAGAGGATAACAGAAGATTAGAAAAAAAAAATTTAAAAAAAAGAGCGGGAAAAACATGAAATGTATGACAACTGTACACAATTACTTATAATAATTAAAAAATGGACACTGTGGCCTTCCTCAGCAGAGCAATGACAAGAAACAAAACACAACATGAATATAAAGACGGGCAGTAGAAAAATAAATCAAGGAGTGTAACATGACATGGGATACCTTGGCAGAAATGCAGCTGACCGACAGCAACTGAGACCCCTTGTGAATGCCTTATGTGTCAACATCGACGTGAAAATGATAAAGATAGATAGAAGGTTAGATGTCAAGTCGAGTTGAGTTTAGTTAAGAATTGACATCACAGCACTCGGGGCATTCCAATGCGTGCGTTATCTTCATCTTCAGCATCCAGCGCGGAGTTCCAATACTTATGGTACCGGTCACAATCTGGTTATATGTCCGTCTTGCCTTTCCTCTGAGTGTAGTGAGCCGGCCAGACCCTCTGGTTACACCCAGGGGCCTCATTCTCTCCAGGCCATAATAATCTTCTTTCTCTTCTATTATAAGCAAACATATGGTTTTCATTTTGCCTTTTTTTGCAAAGCAAGCAATCAGCATGCTTACAGTTTACTGGGTAACGGTTACTTTTCAAAACATAAAATTGCATGATTTTTATAAACATATCACTTTCAGGTGCTCATCTCTAGCATTAGCCTCCGGTGATGAACAATTTTTTTCATTGTATGCAGGATAGGCTATCAAAATAATCACCACTTATAACTGCACAAGTGATGTGATTTCCAAACAATCTTCAAGTATGTGTAAATTACTGTATATTCTAGTTTTTAAGGGGTCCACAAAGTATTAGTCAAACAAATAAAAATAAAACAGCAGCACCTGTGCAACTGTAAGTTATAAAATGTTAAAGACATGGAAAATGTGGGTCACATCGTGTTGACCCGTACAGAAGTTTTCAAGATATTTGTTTAAGTACGAGAGCACGACTTTTGAAAAGCACTAAATTTAATAACCTGTTGTATACTCCGTGCTTCAGGCGTCAAGTCCAGTCTGTACTGAACTGGAGGTGATTGTGATGGATTGGCTGGCCAAGCTTCTACGCCTGCCCAACGAGTTTTTATTCAGCGGAGAAGGAAATGGTGGAGGTGTTATACAGGTATAATAATAATAATATAATAATAATAATAATAATAATAATAATAATAATAATAATAATAATAATGTTATGTTGTCACAGTCGACGTCTGTGCGCACTGGACATTCCCATGGGTGCTCAGTCTACTGTTGCAGCAGCTCCTCCAAGGTACCTCTACTGATTATTTCCATAAGAACTTGTTTATAATGTCTCCTGTCTTTACATCAAAGACGGCATAGACGTGCTTTACCAAGTTGAACTCACTGGTTACGCAATCGTGTTAGCGTCAAAGATAGATTCAACAGTATCTCCCAAGCTAGTCTGCACAGCAGTATGATATCAGCTCTGTCCATGCTTCTTCCCGTTTGCATTGGTGCATTACTTGTCATAGTTTTACTAAGGTGGTCGACAGAACGGATGACAAGTGACAGGCCACACGTACAGCCACTTCAAGTTCTGCTGCCTTAACCTGATCCCAATTCTGTGTGGGGAAACCCCATCAAAAAGTCCGACAGTTTCTTTTTTTAGGCCAACCACTATAAAAAAAAAAAAAGGCCAAACTGGTAACCTAACCTAGATGAGGGATAATTTATAAAAAAAATTACCACACATCACTGCACATATGAACTGACCAAAACTCCTTTCCCGCTTGTGATTTAGAGAGAAACATATGTGTCAGTTATGGTATATATATATTTTTTAAGGGGTTCAAAAATTAGAAGTCTAAAAAAGATACCCCTCCACCCCCAAAGAAAAAAGTCGCCGCTTTAAGAAAACAGCATCATTTCTGCAGTAGTAAATTATAAAATCATAAGGACATTGGAGATCTAAGACAACGCGAAAAAATTCGTCATCATCATCATCATCATCATAAACCACTTCTGCCGTTAAGCACCGTGGGGAGGAATAGTTTGCGATCCAGTGCACGTTGGCTGCCATTAGCTATTGTCATGCCGTGAAGGCGTAGAGTGTCTTTAATGTTGTCGATCCATATTTTCCGCGGCCGTCCTCTTGCTCTTGTAGTTGATCTTCTGAGATGTATTGCTTGTGATGGTATTTGATCTTGCTGCATTCTAACGAGATGGTCAAACCACTTGATCTGCTGTTTCTCGATGAATCTAGTACAAGGTGTCCTTTCCACAATGTGCCTGATAGTTTCATTATTCACTCGTTCTGATATGGTTAGGTTGGCTGCTTTGCAAAAATTCGTAACGAACTTTAAAAATCTATATCCGAGTAACCGTTCGGTGTCAGTTGTTAGATATTGTGCATGCGACCTGTCAGTAATCATGTCCTGGTAAGTAATGTTTTCTCTTGTTATTTTTTAACAAACGTCTGGTTTTAATTTTGCATAATACAGACAGACGGACAGACAGACAGACAGACAGACAGACAGACAGACAGACAGACAGACAGACAGACAGACAGACAGACAGACAGACAGACAGACAGACAGACAGACAGACAGACAGACAGACAGACAGACAGACAGACAGACAGACAGACAGACAGACAGACAGACAGACAGACAGACAGACAGACAGACAGACAGACAGGCAGGCAGGAACGCTGACAGGCAGACAGACAGACAGACAGATGGATGGATAAATGGATGGATGGATAGATAGATAGATAGATAGATAGATAGATAGATAGATAGATAGATAGATAGATAGATAGATAGATAGATAGATAGATAGATAGATAGATAGATAGATAGATAGATAGATAGATAGATAGATAGATAGATAGATAGATAGATAGATAGATAGATAGATAGATAGATAGATAGATAGATAGATAGATAGATAGATAGATAGATAGATAGATAGATAGATAGATAGATAGATAGATAGATAGATAGATAGATAGATAGATAGATAGATAGATAGATAGATAGATAGATAGATAGATAGATAGATAGATAGATAGATAGATAGATAGATAGATAGATAGATAGATAGATAGATAGATAGATAGATAGATAGATAGATAGATAGATAGATAGATAGATAGATAGATAGATAGATAGACAGACAGACAGACAGACAGACAGACAGACAGACAGACAGACAGACAGACAGACAGACAGACAGACAGACAGACAGACAGACAGACAGACAGACAGACAGACAGACAGACAGACAGACAGACAGACAGACAGACAGACAGACAGACAGACAGACAGACAGACAGACAGACAGACAGACAGACAGACAGACAGATAGATAGATAGATAGATAGATAGATAGATAGATAGATAGATAGATAGATAGATAGATAGATAGATAGATAGATAGATAGATAGATAGATAGATAGATAGATAGATAGATAGATAGATAGATAGATAGATAGATAGATAGATAGATAGATAGATAGATAGATAGATAGATAGATAGATAGATAGATAGATAGATAGATAGATAGATAGATAGATAGATAGATAGATAGATAGATAGATAGATAGATAGATAGATAGATAGATAGATAGATAGATAGATAGATAAACCGATTCTGAGCAAACAAGCAAAAAGCTTACAGTTAATTGAGTACAGGAAACCTTATGCACCCGCTTCTGTCTCAGAGTTTTCAGACGCCAAAGGCACTTTTAAAACAATCTATTAAACGCCAGAGACACTTTTAAAACAATCTATGAAACGATAGAGACACTTTTAAAACAATCTATGAAACGTCAAATACACTTTTAAAACAACCTATGAAACAGCAAAGACACTTTTAAAACAACCTATGAAACAGCAAAAACACTTTTAAAACAATCTATGAAACGCCAAAGACACTTTTAAAACAATCTATGAATCGCTAAAGACACTTTTAAAACAATCTATGAAACGCTAAAGACACTTTTAAAACAATCTATGAAACGCTAAAGACACTTTTAAAACAATCTATGAAACGCTAAAGACACTTTTAAAACAATCTATGAAACGCGAAAGACACTTTTAAAACAATCTATGAAACGCAAAAGACACTTTTAAAACAATCTATGAAGTTAAACTTGAAAGAAGAATACCAAAATTACAGACCAGTCGTACTATTTAATCGAGGATTGGGGGGGGGGGGGAATTTAATACAATACAGAACTGCTATTTTATCATTCTTTTCTTTTTTTTTGGAATAAAGAAAGCACATTTCAAGGCAAGGAATAGACTCCAATACGGTAGCGAATGATGACCTCATTTTCATTTCGGTGTTGCGCTTGAGGATGATGATATTTCAAGGCAGAGTAGTGCTCTGGTTAATTTCTTTCAATGAGAAGGGGTTGGTGGGCCAACAATTTTGAGAAACACTGATCTAGCCGCTACACCACGGCGGTTTCTCTGACGATGACGGTGGCCTGGTGTATTTATCTGAACAGGGAACTGCAAGCGAAGCTACGCTCGTGGCTCTACTGTCTGCAAGAGCTAAGATATTTGCACAGATGTTGTTTGCTGATCCCAGTTCGACGCATGGGCAAATCCTGGATAAACTTGTTGCCTACACATCAGATGAGGTGAGATTTGTTTGAGTATCATTTTTTTTTTCCACCCAAGGATTAGTTAGGTGTCCTGATTAAAAAGTCATGCCCCGCCCCGCCCCCTCCACCCTAATTTTTTTTGCGCGTAGAAAATCGCCCACACCCTCTCTGTTTACACCAGCTGAGTAACCTTCTCCAATAATGGATGCTCTCTGTGTTTGTTTTTTTCCCTCCACTTTACTTGATGCCCATAGAGGTCTCCAAACTTTTCCTGGTTCCCCCCCCCCCCCCGTTTTTTTCTTGAGCATATGTTTAAAAATAAGGGTAAAGTCGGGATATGTGAACCAGCTTCATTGCACACGATTATAAACCATAAGTGCTCTGCAACTTGGAACATGGATGCTGCAGGTTTTCGATCACACGGCAGGGAAATGCTCGATTATATTGCTCACTATCTAGAAACAGTCCATCTTCGACAACCTCTGCCAGATGTCCATCCGGGTTACCTGAAGGATCTGGTCCCTGATGAAGCACCATTGACAGGGGAGAGCTGGGAAGACCTCAAGAAAGACTTGGATAGGGTTGTCATGCCAGGGGTAAGTGGTCGTTTGTACAGACAGCTGATAAGAAACTGTCTGCCTGTGTAGCCGTCCGTACGCAACTCCGTAGCTACAGCGACGTTCCTCCATTTACCCCAGAGCGTTAACTCTGGTACCCATTTCCTAGAGGCTGGGTGAACCCCGAGAACCGCCCAGTTTCGAACACCGGCCGTGGGCTGCAGCACGTCGCAGTTGAATTCGAAAGCGAGATATGAGAAGACCCCTCCTCCCCCCCCCCCCTTTTTTTTTTAAATGTATGACGGCTATCACCCCCCACCCCCCTTCTTCAACATCACATAATGTGATTTTTTTTTTTTAAAGGAGGAGAATAAATTTAACAACAATATAAACGGACAGTATGGAGATACGTTTTGTTTAGAATGTGATCTCAATCTATAATTAAATCCCTGTGTTATCATATTAATTAGATTTTTACCTGTAAATATACAAGCTGCTTATGAAAACACAACTCAAATGTACTTGGCTTTTATTTATAACTGGCTTTAAAACCCATTTTATTTATAATTAAACTGAAAAATAATATATTGAATTAGTAGAAATACAAATGCATTCAGGCGCAAACTTGCTTGACCCCGCTCTTGAAGCCTCCCCACTCCTTCCAGGGAGAACACTGCCATAGACCATTCAACACATCCGCCTTATCACAATGCAGCTCACCGACCAGATGTTCTGCAGCAGGCAGTCTTTCGTTTATTATCGGTGTCACCTTTTATATTCCCTGTTGATCTTGACGGTTGAAGACACGTCACCGTAACGTCCTGTCTTGCTGAACGAAATTAAGAATATGCTAAGCTGTCTTTCTTTATCAACTGGGAGGAGGAACGAACCGTGGCGAGCTATATAAATCCTGTCACGATATTTTCGGTTAACTCAGGAGTGATTATTCCTTCAAAGTCGGAGTGCATCTACCTAAGAGACGAGAAAACAAACGTCTGCATAAAGATAAAGCAGATCTGTAAAATGGATATTCACACAAAACTCAGGTTCTGGAAAAAGACTAGAGTCTAGAAGAGGACGAACAACCAGAACTTTACACTGAAGTTTACAGTCGGTGAACGCGAAGAAGAAAAAGAGAAGGATGAGGGGGAGGAAGAGGAGGAGGAAGAAGAAGAAGAAGAAGAAGAAAAAGAAGAAGAAAAAGAAAAAGAAGAAGAAGAAGAAAAAGGGATGCTTATATTAACCGTTCCCCGTGTGCGTTCCGGGGCCCTATTTTAGGAAAAACAAGAATAGACCCAATGGCTACCCAAAAGCATGTTGTAAGAGTCAACTAATTGGGAGCTTCCTTCAAAGCCGGAGTGCATCTGCTTGAGGGGCAAGGAACCGGAAGTCTGCACGCAAATGAGTCAGATGTGTCAAACGGATGTACACGCAACACTCAGGTTCTAAAACAGGACTGCACCCCAGAAGTGGATGAACAACCAGAACTTTCTGCCGGAGTTTATAGCGAAGAAGAAGAAAGATATTTTAAGCGACGTCAACTTGCATTTATAGAGACGACACCTCCTCCCTTCCCATTGAGACTATTACTCAATTGTATTTTATACAGTGCCACAGTTCAGTAGAGCGGGCTGCCCTGATCACATTGGTGAAAATGAGAAAACTGCCAACAGATGAACAAGGATCACTGAGAGGTCCCACTCTGGAGAAAGCCATCAGAGAGGACAAGGAGAGAGGACTTATACCTTTCTTTGTGAGTTTTGCAGTATTGCTTTATTCTTCTTATTCTTTCTTCTTCTTCCCCGTCCCCATCTTCACTTCCTGTTCCTCTTTCATCATCTATGTCGTCATCCCCATACCCACTATCATCATCATCATCACCATCATCATTAGCACAATTTTATCGTCAGACATTTATCCTGTAATAGATTGCGATCGTTCTAATGTTAGAGAAGAATTAGTTCATACAATCGATTACAGTTGAGTGTTATAGGACAGAAAGAAAGTTATATTACTGAGTATAGCATTTGGGGCAGGCGCGCTGCGACTGAGAAAACACAGAAGGGCGCTATTCCCTCCTCGAACCCAGTATAAGTTTCTAGAGACTAGGGAAGGGGCTCAAAACTTTTTAAATTGCACAATAATAATAATTATTAATAATAATAATAATAATAATTAAAACTAGTATTATTACTGCGCAATTAAACAAGACTTAAGCCCTTTGAGTAACCGCCGCCACAAAATTAGCATGACCTAGGGTGTGTTCAATGAAAACTTTCTTAACTGCACAATGTTAATAATAATAATAATTATTATTATTATCATTATTATTATTATTTTGAGGAGCTCAGGATATCTGAGACTCCAGGTTTGGCGCATAGTGTTAAAGATTTTAGTAACGAAGTATATTGTTCTCTTTCCTCAGCTCTGTGCAACCATTGGAACGACTTCAGCGTGTGCATTTGACAACATGTCTGAGCTAGGACCTATATGTAAGCTACAAGAGTACATTCGATACAGCTTTAACAATATAAACATGTCGTGCCGTGCTATGATACAGAGGTGGCACCGTTTGGGGGCGGAATAAGCAGCAAAATCAAAATACAGTGTGAACATGTAAGGGGCGGCGTTTCGAAAACTTACATCATACTGAGAGGAGCGGCTGACCGAGGGGTTAGAACGCTGGGCTCTCACGCGGGAGACCCAGGTTCGAATCCTCGGTAAGGCTGGGGATTTTTTTCTGTAGGGGGCAAAATAAAATCCTCACCTGCACAGTCGTGGCGACAGCACTAGCCATGCTGCCGTAAATCCCCAGGCTCAAATACCCTCCTGCCTACACAGCAAAAGTGGTATAATAATGGCAGTAATTGGCAGTTGTGTGTGTGTATATGTGTGCGCACGCGTGTAACTGTGTGTGTGGTGTTTGTGGTGTGGTGTGGTGTGTGTGTGTGTGTCGTGTGGTGTGTGTGTGACTGTGTGGTGTGTGTGTGTGGCTGTGTGTGTGACTGTGTGTGTGACTGTGTGTGTGTGTGTGACTATGTGTGTGTGACTGTGAATGTGTGAATGTGTATGTCTGACTGTGTGTGTGTGACTGTGTGTGTGACTCTGCGTCTGTGACTGTGTGTGTATGACTGTGTGTGTGACTGTCTGTATGACTGTGTGTGTGTATGACTGTGTGTGTGACTGTCTGTATGACTGTGTGTGTGTGACTGTGTGTCTGACTGTCTGTGTGACTGTGTGTGTGACTGTGTGTGTATGACTGTGTGTATGACTGTCTGTGTAACTGTGTGTGACTGTGTGTGTGACTGTGTGTGTGTGACTGTGTGTGTGACTGTGTGTGTGTGACTGTGTGTGTGACTGTGTGTGTGACTGTGTGTGACTGTGTGTGTGTGACTGTATGTGTGTGTGCGTGCGTGCGTGCATCCTAAACGGGTGCCACGATGTGTGTCCTAGGGAAGTAAAGACGGCCGGCGTAATGCTGACCACATTAACCACCTAGTACCGATTAGTCTATAAAAAAATATGGGTGCTCTTCCCATATGCCAGATGCACCTAAAGGGTGATAAGGATCTTTGCTTTATGCCTGATGCTCCTGATACTTGAAAGGGGTCCTTTCCTTCACTTTACTTGCACGATGTGTATAAATGTGTCATCACATAGGCTCCTCAAACGACATTTGGATGCACGTGGACGCAGCATATGCGGGAAGTGCCTGTATTTGTCCGGAGTTTCAATATTTGCTGGATGGTATTGAGGTCAGTGTCATTAATTCTATTTAGCCATTAGAGATTGTTGATGTCCTGGTCCGTCTCTGCTATGATTTAAATATGTGCGTTAGCAGGGTATGAATGATACAGGTATCGAGGTGGTTTCATGGCAACAAGATGTCATTGATCGGATGGTATTGAAGGGGACAATTATCAAGGGAATAGGGGTAAAGGCGTATAATATTGCAGGTATGTTAAGAGCTTTGCGCTGGAGAGGAAACGCGCCAGTTACATGTGGCAACAATAATTATCATTTGCTTCTTCTTCTTCATTCGTTCGTTCGCATGAAATAGATTATCTATATCTGCAATGTTGTCTGTAGTATGGACTTCACTTTCTTTTTCTTTCCCACTCACTCGTGGGCCTGTAAAGTTTGGTTTCCATCGGTGCTTCCTTTGGTCAATGATTTTGCCTTGACATGTTGTACATAGTGTTTGTGAAGTCTCACAACAGGTTGTATGTAGAACAAATCTAAAAACCGAAGTACATGACGTCATCAAAATGTGCTTCACTCTCAATCGTGAACCAATATACAGTGAATGGATGTTGTATGCCCTGGAGTAGGAGCCTGTCTTACTACTAGGCGCGTCCACTAGGTGGCGGATGGTGATATAGACGTTAGCCACGAATATATTGAATAAGTGGCCGTGGACCAAAACAGGTGATGGTCATTGAGAGGAGGCGAGTTAGTTGGTGGGACAGCTAACTCTATAGAATACCTCAAAACTCTGCGACATGGCCATCGGCGGGTAAGAGGCGCCATAACCTCTCCCCCCTGCTGCCTTGCAGGGTAAGTCTCTTTAGACAAAGGCTATTGGAGTCAAACCATATACAAACCGGCGAAAGCCAAGGGGAAACCACTGCTGTACTATCCCAAGAAAATCATGCCTCAAAATAATTGAAATTCAGATAACGACGTGAATGGGGATTCCAATGGAATCACCTCGTCCGGTAGGGAGCATCATGTTCTACGGGTGATACCCAACCGTCATCCAGCTACTGTAGAAAAAGTAAATGGTAGAAACATCATGAACATTGGTACATGGAATGTCAGAACACTCGTACAAAACGGAAAGTTGGATAACATCAAGATGGAAATGAAAAGAATGAACATCAACATATTAGGAATTAGTGAAATGCGATGGCCAGGAGCAGGTGAAAAATATTCAGATCAGTACATAATTATTTACTCGGGTGGGAAGGAATATAGTAAGGGAGGTGGTATTATTTTAAATCAAAAGAACTCAAAAACTGTGAAAGGATTTTGGACAAAATCAGATAGCGTACTATTAGTAAAAGTTCGCGGCAGACCGTTTGACATCAACTTAGTGCAGATTTATGCACCAACAGCAGATAGTTCAGAGGAAGATATTGATGCATTTTTTAATGAGTTAGATATGGCTGTTGATCAATGCAAAAATTATGAAGTAACAATGGAAAAGAATGTGAGAGGTGGCAGATTAATAGCATGGGCTGAGTCACGCAGCATGATAATAGGGAACACTTGGTTTAAACACCATCCCCGAAGATTGTGGACTTGGAAAAGTCCTGGTGATAATGTCCGCAATCAGACTGATTATATTTTGATTTCAAGAAGATTCAGGAGCAGCTTAGTTGGAGCAAAAACTAGACCAGGAGCAGACTGCTTTAGTGACCATGTTCCAGTTGTAGGAAAAATTAGAAAAACACCACAGAACATCAAGTTAAATTTAGGAATTCTTAGAACGGATAAAGAAATTAAGGACCAGTACAATGTACAAAACCGGTATAAAGCAATGGAAATTATACAGACTGTTGATGAACAGTGGGATATGTTGCGTGAGTCAATTCAGCAGACATCTAAAGAGACAATCCCACCAACCCATAGAGTTGCAAAAAAGAAATGGATGTCAAATGAAATTCTGCAGTTGATGGATGAAAGAAGGAAGAAAAAGAGTTATAAAGAAGAATACTCTAGAATACAAAAAGAAATAGTGAACAAATGCAAAGTGGCTAAAGAAACCTGGCTTAATCAAATGTGTACAGAGATTGGGGAAAACAACAGGAAAGACTGACATTCCATGTACCAAAAGATAAATATGTTAACAGGAAAGATGACACGTAACAGCACTGGATGTTTGAAATCAAAAGATGCTGACTTATTAATGGGACATAGTAATATAATTAACAGATGGACAGAGTATATAGGGGAATTGTACGATGATAAAAGACCAGATGTAGAACTGCAGACCAACAATGATGGTCCACCAATAATGACTGCAGAAGTTGAGGATGCAATACATCATATGAAGAAAGGAAAAGCACCCGGGCCAGACAACATTACATTGGAAGAAATCGAAGCACTGGGAGATTTTGGAATTTAAATAATAACTACACTTTTAAATGATATTTATAATAGTGGGTATATTCCAAATGACCTTTTAAAATCCATATTTATAGCTCAGCCTAAGAAAAAAGGCACTATAAAATGTGAAGACCATCGAACAATAAGACTTATGAGTCACATGACTAAGATTTTACTGAGAATAATTTTGAGAAGAATAAGAAACAAAATTAAACCAGAAATCAGCGATGAACAATGTGGATTTGTAGAAAGAAAAGGTACAAACAATGCCATATACATCCTAAGGACATTGTCAGAAAGAGCTATAGAAGTAAAGACTGATTTGTACATATGCTTCATAGATTATACAAAAGCATTTGACTGTGCGAAGCTTGAAGAAGTAATCTAACTGTTAGAAAAATGAAACATTGATGGAAAAGATCTACGAATAATAAAGAATTTGTATTGGCAGCAAACAGCAGCTATAAGAATTAACAACTGTTTAGGTACATTTCAAAGCATAAAGAGGGGCGTACGACAAGGATGTGTACTGTCACATGATTTGTTTTCAATATACAGTGAATATATAATGAGGGCTTTAATTGGTATGCCACGAATTGTGGTTGGTGGGCACAATATAAACAATTTACGTTATGCTGATGACACAGTCTTGATAGCAACAAGTCAGAAAGAACTACAGGAAATGATAGACATTGTGGTGTTAGAAAGTGGAATAATGGGCCTCAGTTTGAATAATGGGAAGACAGAAGTAATGGTGGTATCAAAGAAACGAATTATTCCTAAGTGTATAATAAAAGTTGATGGTGTTATTTTAGGACAAGTACATACATTTAAGTATCTGGGCACATGGATAACATCAGTTGGAAGATGCATAACTGAGATAAGAAATAGAATAGGACAGGCAAAAACTGCATTTTATAAAATGAAAAACATCTTGTGCAATATATCCTTGTCATTGGAAGTTAGAAAAAGAATTTTTGCTTGCTACATACATCCAGTTTTAACATATGGCTGTGAATCCTGGATAATCGGTAGGCAGGCCAAACAATTTCTGGAGGCCTCAGAGATGTGGTTTTACAGAAGAATGCTTAGAATACATTGGACAGCCAAAAAGAGCAACCAAGAGGTTTTGAAAGAGGCGGGAGCCCGAAGACAACTTATCACAGACATCAAAAGGAGACAGTCATCATTTTTCGGCCATGTTATGAGAAGAGGGAAAATAGAACATGTTGTGACAACTGGAAAGATATGTGGAAGGAGGGATAGAGGAAGACGAGAGAAGATGCTTGACAGTCTTGTTGCATGGCATGGAGGTGTGTCGACACACGAACTGATACATGCTGCAGGAGATCGCAGATTATGGAGAGGCATGATCGCCTACGCCAGTCGGCAAGGCACCTGATGATGATGATGATGATGCTGGAGTAATTATTTGCATTCAGAATATAATTATGTTATCAAAGGAAAAACATATATTTTGGGCTGAACCAGTGTTTCGAAATGTCGGTCGATATACACTGATGGTCGTGTATTGTTGTCCTTGTGGACATTTCCAACACTTGTTATAATGAATATTTCATCGTTATTTTCAGCCTACATAAAACAGTGGTAGATCAAAGCTTTGACTATTCACATAATTCAATGGCCTTAAACCACTTTTTTTTAAATAACGTCGTGTATTACGTTTTTCAGATTTGCTCTGCGTACAAAGTGTAGTGAGATTTTACAAACGTCCTGTACTTGGGGCAGTCTTGAAGGACGTGGTCTGTTGTCTCAGGTGCCAATCCACGTGTGCACATGGCTGATTCGCCAAATAATTGCCACGGAATAGTATGCACTTATGTTGGAAGATTTTTAACGAGAGCAGGTCTCGCTAGTTACACTCGTCATCTCCGTGGTATGTGATTCTCGCACATTTCCCATAATACTGTGAAACACTTCTTCTTCTTCTTCTTGTCTCTACTTCTGGAATGCTTCACAGCGTCAGGGCAGGAAAAGATCTCTGGAACGTATAAAGTTCTTTTCAGTATCTCTGTTATTTCTGCGGTCCATTATCTGCGTGGTCGACCTCCGGCGATTCTTCCATTGTATACTTATAACACTGCTCTCTAGTGCCTTGTCTGATGCCCTGTCAGTGAACCAGTATCGTCTAGAAATACTAAATGGTTCCACTTTATATTTAGAAATTAACCCACAGAACTGTAGAGAATTTAATCCCTTTTACTTTGTATATTTACCTTTTTACCTTATCTAAACATTTGTCTTGCAGCACTGCACAACTTTCAACTTTAACCCACACAAGTGGCTTAGAGTAAACTTTGACTGCTCTGCCATGTGGTAAGTCACTGTTTATATACTTTTATAAACACCTATCTACAATATAAGCGTTGAAAACAAAAATGTTTATCCGCTCTTTATTCCTTGTGGGTACTCGTGGAACAAAAAGCCATAGACCGTGTTGTATGCAAGGGGCACATCAGGAAGGGAATGAGAATAAAGGAAGAAATGACTGCAGAAAGGATGAGAGCTGACCGTCTAAGAAAAAACGGACCAAACACAAATGTTGACAAATATTGTCCTGAAATCCCATGCCATCATTGTGGAAAACTTGTCTTGCTAGTTACACTCGCTATCGCCATGCGATGTAAGTTCCATGCCTCCTCATAGCGCAGTATAACACTTTCGTCTGGAAAAAACGGGAAGGGGCCAATCATCATTCCTTCTGTAGGTTCTTTGGACTCAATGGAATGGGTAGAATAAACCTCCCCCCCCCCCCTCTATCCCTACCTCCCCAACAAGTATGTTAAAAAAGATGACTAAGTAAATATTTGCGAAAATAAGACGATTTTTTCGTCGAAAGTTGCAGATAACACAGCTTAGCTGTAAACAACAACACAACTTGCCAACAGTGCTTTAATGTATGAAGGCAGAAGAAGAAGATCCCAACTTTATGATGACAGGTCGAACTCAGAACCATACACTGTATATTGTAAGTTCAATGGGGCTATAACAGATCAAGAGCGAAATAGGACAATCAAAAAACGGCATTTTAAAAAAGGACAATCTTAAAAACATTTTTTTTTCCACAAACGATCTTGGTTCCCTGATCTACCCAGCCTTAAGTGGGTACCAGGTAAAGTCTTGGGAAGTTAAATTGACCACATCACTCACCGAATTCCGAGTGGTTTCTAAAATATAGACATTGCCTTATATGCCCAGAGCCTCTGAAGACTCGTTCAACCTCTTCACACGAAAGAAACAGAACATTATATTTTAGATTGCGTACTTGACACAGCCGACTCTACAGCCACGTGTACAACCAGTTCAAGTTTAAGGACCGGCGTGGTGGGTAATGAACAGGCAGACAGATTGGCTGGATCTGCACCACTGGGTGGGTGGTAAACTGAGACATGACAAGGCAGATGTGGTCAAGGCCTTGTGGGAACAAGCAACGGAATCAGCAGCGATAAAATATTATTATGGTCTGGAGAGAATGAGGCATCTGGATGTAACCAGAAGGTCGTGGCCGGCTCACTTCACTCAGAGGAAAGGCAAGGCGGACATGTACCCAGATTGTGGTCGGTACCATCAGTATTTGAACTCTGCGCTGGCAGCTGAAGATGAGGACGGAGCATGCATGGTAATGCCCCGAGTGCTGTGATATCAATTCTTGACACAACTCAACTCAACTTCAAGATAAAGTATTTTGAACCTTGCTTATATGGACACCCACCACAGAATATTGAACATGTGTTTCAGACATACTCTCTAGATGCCAGTAGAGAAATCCCAGGTTTGGCCGGTTGGCATTCCAGTGGAAACCAAGATGTATGTAGCAGTGGAAGACATGCGTCTCACCATATACTTCATACAGGCCCGTGGCCTTTTCATCTAAAACCGCGAAAAGGGAGGGGGGGGGGGAAGGGGGGTGGGAAAGGAGAATAAAACTAAAAAAAAAAAAAAACATCTTTTGCAATAAATACCCGATACTGAATGTTAGAAACAAAAATAATTATTGCATATTACATAGATAGTTTTAAAATGTTTATGTGAATCAGTTATGAATCGTTAGTCAACAAAACAATAATGTTCTTGAAGCCGCAATGGTGCAGTTGTCAGAAGAATGTATGCGTTTCTTTTGACAGCAAAAAAAAAAAAAAAAACTTGATGTTATGCAAAGGAAAACATAATAAAAGAGGCAAAAGACCAAAGAAACATATTACAAACACCAGAAGGGGGCAGTAATTTTTGTTGGAGGGAGGCCTTGTTGTAAGAAGGAAATACCTGAAACGTTTTGTGACAACTTGAAAAAGAATTTTAAACGCCCCCCCCCCCCTCCCACTTCCCCCTTTTCCAGGTTTGCAGTCTGTAAAAATACCATCTCAAGGATGAGAATCACACCGGTGCACATTTCCGATACCCAAGTCAACCATAGAGTACCGTTTTATTTAAGGCCGATTGGTCTGCATAATTCCGGCTCGGCCTTCCAAAGGTTCCATCAGAACGCCAAGACGAAGGGGATCGTCTACTCTCCTTTGCCATGTAAACAGAAAGATCTCGTGATCAATTTGAATAATCATGTGACTGATTTCGATTTTGAATTTCCCGCGGATAGATGTATTTTATGCATTTCAACAAGAAAATTATGCATTTTATACTTCATTATATGTTGATTTCACTCTGAAGTAATGCACCTGGCGAAATACAGCGAAATATGCCAGGCAATAAATTGTGCAATGGATTGTTTGTGTCCACATTGTTTAAATCTGCAACGGGAAAACTTTTTTTTTTTTTTTTTAACTCAACAGAAAGACCAAGCAGCCATAAAATATTTCAAAAACAAAATTTCCGAGAACCGTGCTGGTGTAGCGGCTAGACGCCTGTCCGAAGGTCTTGTGTTCTTATTCACATCAAGTTGGATTTTTTGTTTTTCAAAAATTACCTTAACTGTCAGGTTGACTCAGACTGAATTGACTACCATGTAAAAGTCCCGGCAAGTAAAGGCGGCAGGCGTAATTACGACATCGCCCACCGAGTGCCCATTGGTCCATACAAAAATATGAGTTGCAGCCCGGCTGCGCCACAGGCGTAATAGGGCCCCCTTAAATTTTACATTATTATCTCTTCCTTTGCTTTACAGGGTCAAAGACAGGAATCTAATCAGCGGAGCATTCGAAATTGACCCTCTCTATTTACAGCACGACAATCAGGGACAGATAATGCCTGATTATAGGGTACGTATTCTAATACAGTGAAGGCAGCATTTCAGAAGATGAAAAATATCTTATGCAACAAATCGCTCCCATTTAATGTCAGAAAGAGGTCACTAAAATGTTACATAGAACCTGTTCTGCTGTATGGCAGCGAATCTTCCTATGTCAATAAACAAATTAGGAAGAATTTGGATGCAACAGAGATGTGGTTTCTAAGAGATATAATAATGGGACTAAAACCAGTCATACAGTTCATTAAACAACAATAAATGTGATGGTTTGGCCACCTGGCGAGAATACCCTGGTAAATCGAAATTCCCCAAGCAATACATTTATGCAAAATAACAGGGGAGATAAAAATATATCCCTGTTTCACCCCCAGTTTTGACTGCATAGGAATCACTTTAACCATCATATGTGCGCACTGCACGCACTGAGCCTCCTATACATTGTTATGATCATGTTTATGATTATGTGTGTGCTATAACATTCCAGGATTCCCCCCAGTGATGTTCTGTGTAAGCTGTTAAAGGTTAGTTGCGTATCCTTTACAGGATGTTGCAGAATCAACTGTTGTGGTTTTTTTTCTAGGGATATTTTTACCTTCAATAGTTTGCCATTGCTTCCTAAGCGGCCAGTTCTCGGTACCACTGACGAAAACAAAGCAAGAAGATCTGCTGTAAGCTGTAAAACACCTGCTTAAAGTCAGTAAGTAAAGATCCCTTTTCACGCCTTATGCGCATCGGGCATATGAGAAGAGCACCCACATTTTTACAGACCATTCGGCACTAGGCTGGTAATGTGGTCAATACTACGCCGGCCGTCTTTACTTCCCCAGGACATACATCCTGGTACCGATTTTAGTTTGGGTCGACCTGCGATGCCCCATACCATGATAAAAATCCACGCAGCCAGCAGTGGGTTACGATCGCGGTATATTGGAATTACGAGTCGGACTCGCAACTCATAAGCCACGGACGCGGTCTTTTAAAGTCGGTGAAATTTCAAATAGAGGTATTTTTTAAAAACAAATACCTCAAAAATAAGTATAATTTATACACATAAGCACGCTGATATCAAATTGTGTTTCTTACAGCATTGGCAGATTCCACTGGGGAGGCGGTTTAGGTCTCTGAAACTCTGGTTTGTCCTGAGAATGTTTGGTGTTGCCGCGCTGCAGCAGCAAATAAGAAAGGTATTTATTCAAGCTCCACAGAAGGAGTTGTAACATACAGCTGTGAATCCTGGACCATGGCTCGGTCTTCTTCTTCTTCTTTTCTCTACTCCTGGAATCGCTCGCGGCGTCAAAGCAAGAAGAAATCTCTGTTCGCGTCAAATAAAGTACTTTTCAGTGTCTCATATATTTCTGTGATCCATATTCTGCGTGGTCGATCTCTTGCTCTGTGACTGTTGTATCTGTATAACATTGCTCTCTGTGGTTCCCTGTCTGATGCCAATCTTGTTACATGGCCATATCTACCTATAAAGTTCAGTATTGGTTCTGTGCCGAGTCTCCTCCTGATATTACCGTTCCTAAGTCGATCTGTCCTCGTTACACCTAGCACAGTACGTAAGCATTTCATTTATGTCTTCTGAAGACAGTGTTCATGTTCTGGTTATTTTCTTTCTGTCTTCTGAAGACAGTGTCCATGTTTGACATTGATAGCATAGCGTTGGTAATAATATTGGTCCAATATGGTGATGAATCGGAGCCGGACTTTTTTTTTCAAAAATGACCTTGGCTCCCAGGTCGACCCCCCAGCCTTTAGTGGGTACTGGGTACAGTCCCGGGAAGTGTAGGCGGCTGGAGTGATGTTGACCACATCACCTATCTTGTACCGATTGGTCTGCAAAAATATAGGTCTAGCCCTATACGCCCTATAGGCATGGAAAAGGGTCCTTTACTTTTTTGTTTACTTATGGTGATGAATGCCTGTTAGTTCAGCAATCGTTGGTTGTCCTGGATGAGTCCTACGACGATTGCATTCACATCTGGAGGTCACTACTGGATGCGACTGACCCGGTCGTGAATAGTCTGTCACATAAGTCACCGCCGTCTTGATACTTCCTGCTCCACTCATACACATGAGTGTGTGTGTGTGTGTGGGGGGGGGGGGGGGGGGGGGGGTCCTTTTTCCAGGATCTATCTTGTTTTTGACTGTTTTGTGGGTCTGCTACATCAAAGGTAATCGTATTTCCAAAGCAGACACTGTCGTTGAAGCTTGAAGAATTAAGCCTTTAAATTCTGTATGTTGCGTCACACGAGTAGTTCCCTTTCTATAAGCTAGTCAATATTGATTCTTGCTGGTTATATAATACTGGAGATTGAACTAGAACCATTATCGTGGTAGATAAGCTCAGCAATCACTCCGCAATTAGAGCTTTACGAATATGGCAATGTGACGCGTAAAAAAGGCGGGGGGGGGGGGTGTAATTTCCGTGGGTCTATCATATTATTATATACTTGGAAAGGGAAAAGGGGGGGGGGGGGGTTACATGAAGAATGCATGCATGCAATAAAGAATCAGTTTTACAATACGGCCGAGAATCATGGACAATTACAAGTTAACCAATTTCTTCAGTTCTCGGACATGTCGTTTTACAGACAAATATTTCAAATTCCTTTAATCAGTGTTTCCAAAACTTTTCTTAGTCGCCGCGCCTTTTTCCGATTACAATTTTTTTCACGGCGCCCTAACCTAAGAAAAAAGTAGGACTATTCGTATGTAAGAGATTAGAAAAAACAAAAAACGCCTGTATCTTCGAATATTTCGCCGTGCCCCTGTGAAGAGGTCACGGCTGCCTGGGGCGACACGGCGCACAATTTGGGAATCACTGCCCTAAACAGGTAACATGAAAAGTACATGTGTTTTGAAAGAAGAAAGAGCCCGAAGAAAGTTTATCACAAACATCCAAAAGAGACAGTCATCATTTTTGTTTTGTTTTGGGAATCGTTGTGAGAAGAAGAAAGAAAAAACTAGAACATATTGTGACCACTGTAATTCTGTGGGGGAAGGGGGGCATAGGAAGATAAGGCCTGGAAGATTCTTAACAGCCTTCTGTCATTTCATTGAGGGGTGTCAGAAGACGAATTGATGCACGATGCTGGAGATCGCAAGATGTGGAGAGAAATTGATGATGATGATGTTGATGGGCATATTAACTATTAACAAATGTTTATATTGCTGTTCTGTCGAAGTAATATAATACTGAGTGCCGATCAATACACTTGTTGTTACTTGATTAAAATAATACGAGTGCGTTTGTTCTTTTCAGGATGTTGATCTGGCCAAAATGTTTGAGTCTTTGGTGAGAAGTGATAGCAGATTTGAAATTGTGCGGTCAGTAACACTTGGCCTTGTCTGCTTTAGGCTGAAGGTAACATATGTTTTCTTTTTCGAGGTCATCTTTCATCATCATCATCATCATCATCATCATCATCATCATCATCATCATCATCATCATCATCATCATCATCATTATAATCATCATCATCAGGTGACTTGCCGACTGGCGTGGGCATTCATGCTCTTTCTCAATCTGGTGTCCGCAACTGCGTCCGTATATCAGTTCGTGTGTTGACACCCCTCCATGCCATGACAAATGGCTATCTTCCTCTGTCTCTATATGTTACATTTTCCCTCTTCTCTTACAATTTCTTTCTTTCTTTCTTTCTTTCTTTCTTTCTTTCTTTCTTTCTTTCTTTCTTTCTTTCTTTCTTTCTTTCTTTCTTTCTTTCTTTCTTTCTTTCTTTCTTTCTTTCTTTCTTTCTTTCTTTCTTTCTTTCTTTCTTTCTTTCTTTCTTTCTTTCTTTCTTTTCTTTCTTTCTTTCTTTCTTTCTTTCTTTCTTTCTTTCTTTCTTTTTTTGTTTTTTTTCTTTCTTTCTTTCTTTCTTTCTTTCTTTCTTTCTTTCTTTCTTTCTTTCTTTCTTTCTTTCTTTCTTTCTTTCTTTCTTTCTTTCTTTCTTTCTTTCTTTCTTTCTTTCTTTCTTTCTTTCTTTCTTTCTTTCTTTCTTTCTTTCTTTCTTTCTTTCTTTCTTTCTTTCTTTCTTTCTTTCTTTCTTGTATGTGTTTTTTAAATTACAGGACAGACAAAGTTAGTGTATTCTTCTAAATCTATTTTAGTTTCTTTTTTCAAATAATGAAACACAAAAAAGATAATTGTTTCATTATAGTCAGAAATCTATTTCTGCAGTTTTTGTTATGAGATGACAGTAATTAACTAGGGCTCCATTTTGTGTGGTGGGGGGTAGGGGTGAGTAAACACACTGCCCCCACCTACTCAACAAGCGTGTCGCAGAAGATGACTAATTATGGGCGTTTCCTTCAAAGTGCATTTCTCTGAGAGGCGAGAAACCACCCAGGAAAGCCAGATATGTAAAACAGATATGCACACAAAACCCACGTTCTGTGACAGACACAAGTCTGAAAGAGAGAAAAAAAAAAAAAATTACAGCCGGCGACGCGAAGAAGAAGAAGAACAAAAATAATTCGCTGTAAACCTAAATCTCATCATCATCATCATCATGTAGCAGGTCCTTTGCAGAATGTCGCTCTCATTACGGTCTGCCTGAAAGAAACTCGGTCTCTTGCCAGTTCTCCCGCCTCATGTACTTTCACACTCAAGAAGTCACTTATATCCTGCGCCCATCTTTGTGTTGGTCGGCCCCTGCCCCCCCCTTCCTGGTACCATGCCTTTTGCTATAATTTTGTTTTTTATTTGTCATGGCGCTTGATATGACCACATTATTTCAGCTTCCGAGACAGGATGCTGTTTATTAGCCAATCTTCCTTGATGTTCTGATCTTTCAAGATGTCAGTATTTCTCCTATTTTTTGTCCAAGATATTTTGAGAATCTTTTTGTAGCATTTCAACTCAAAAGCCCCTATCCTAACCGAAATCTATTTATGCTTTTTTAAATTTTTTTTTATTGCAAGACAGACTAAGATGAATACATCTGTTTCATCACCCATCAATAACATTTGGTCTATAATAAAAAGGTGTCAAAATAAGAGTCTAAGATTACATGCCGGATAAGCTACTGGCAGGGGAAAGGGTCCTTCCTTTACACACATATCGCTGCTGTTTCTTGAATATTTCTTTTTCGCATTCATCCGCTGTAACGTGTTCGGGGCTGACTCAAATGAGGATCATATTTGTGCCAGGACAGCTGGCGCACAAGGAAATGAGCAAGATGATCTGCTGCTGCTGGTAAAGCTACTGTGGAGGTCGGACAAGTCATGGACCATGCTGATATTCTGAATGCTCTACGAGAAGTAAGATGTTTGAGAAAACCAAGTAATGACTGTGAATCTGCAACAATGACCAGGCAGCAAGAGCAGAATGTTAAAAGGGGTGTGGCCAGACAAGAGCATTATGCAGGAAGCCAAAGAAGAATAAGAAACCAACACAGAACTGGTGTTGTGAGCCGCTCCAGGATGTTGGATTTACTAAGCAGGGGACCCGAGCACTTATGGACTGAATGGTTCGACGTGCAATAAGGATAATCTGTCGTCTTACTGACTAAACTCCCCATGAAAGCTCTGGTTGTTCGTTCACTTCTTAACGTTAGACTTGTTCCAAAAGTTGAATTTTGCGTAATATCAGTTTTACATATCTAGCTTGTAAGTTTGCAGACTGTTTGATCCTCGCCTCTTAGACAGATGCACTCAGGAACTACCCCTAATTCGTCGACTTTTACGACATGTTTTTGGGAAAGAGACTGAAACACTGGCTAAAGAAGGTGAAAATGAAGAACAACCCGACATAGCAGCCTCTTGTCAACAGAAGAAGAAAATCTATCAGAAAGCTACCGAAACCGACACAAGACAAATACCATATTATGGATAGGCCAGAGCAAGTCATTATTCTACGCCTTAGAACAGGACATAATTAACTTTGCAGCCACATATACACAACATTGAAGACTGGCGAATCAGCCATGTACACATGTGGACTGGCACCAGAGACATCAGATCATGTCCTCCCAGGCTGACCCATATACAACACATCAAGGCAAAACTTTTGGCCAGGAAAAACTTCGGTGCAAGCCAAACTTTACGGGTGGCCAAATTACAACAGACATTTACGTTTATACTAGAGACAACATTGCAGTAAAGTAAAGATCCCTTTTCACGCCTTTAGGCGCATCGGGCATATGAGAAGAGCACCTATATTTTTACAGACCAATCGGTACTAGGTGGGTAATTTGGTCAGCATTACACCGGTCATCTTTACTTCCCCAGGACATACATCCTGGTACCCATTTTAGGCTAGGTCGCCCTGCGACGCCCCATACCATGATAAAAATCCATGCAGCCCGCAGTGGGTTTCGATCGCCGTACGTTGGAATTACGAGTCGGACTCACAACGCTTAAGCCAGGGACGCCCCAGAGACATCATCGCAGAAATAGATAATATTTTTTTCAGCCGATCGAAAGGAAGAAGATATTCTTCCCAGCGCCCCCACTCCCACACGCAAACCAGCCCCGGGAACAGACAGGGATTTTATTGAAAAGGTTTGTTGCGTATCCTTTACAGGACGTTGCAGAACCAACCCCATTAGCTCCTGGCTGTTGTGTCGTTTCACTAGGCAAATTTACGTCCAGTAGTTTGCCATTGATCACTGGGTGGTCGGCCCCCTGATACCACTGTCGAAACTAACGCAAGGTGTATGGCCTGCAGTTGGGATCGAACCCGGTACCCCGGCATTACGAAGCGTTCGCACTGACTTAGTCACAGAGGTTTATTGAATACATGTGCGTATTCTTTTCTGTTGACAGGGTGACAATTCCATCACCGAGTCCCTCCACAAGAAAATCAACGATGATCGCAGGATACATCTAGTTCCCTCTATCATCAAAGGCACGTACTTTATCCGTTTTGTCATTTGTGCCAGTGCAACTCAGCAGGAAGATGTGTCTTTTGCGTGGTCGGTGATACAGGAACTGACAAATTCATTGATACCCTCATAGAAACGCCTCGTAGACATACAGCCATTGAACAAGATAGTAAAATGTGAGTTTTTTTTATAGGAGTTATTTCTTGTACATTTGATTTATCAAAGAATACATGTATTTATTTGTAGATGAATAGTACTAGTAAATTACCGTTTAATTATATCTGATCCCCCCCCCCCCCGCCCCCCCCCCCCCCCCGCCAAATTCCAATTGTACAGGGGAAAAGTCGCCCATCTTCAATCTTCCACACACAGTTTATTGACTGAAATTTGAGTATTTGTACAGGGGAAAAGTCGCCCATCTTCAATCTTCCACACACAGTTTATTGATTGAAATTTGAGTACAGGGACTTTTTGGCTTATTCTCCCTATCTGGGTGTATTTCTCCATCCCTACATTCGTGTAGTTTTGCTGGATTAATGTATGTGCTAATGAAGGCGCTATAGCCTCAATTTTCACGTTTTGTTTGTTTTGTTATATTGTGAAGCTCGCTGATCTGCTTTTCATTCGGTCTTATGTCTTTCCACTCCTACAGTCTAGGTCCCCTGTTCGTTCTGTTGTTTCTCCTCGTCTTGTTGGATTTTTGCCTTCTATGTTCTGGTTGTGGTAGGTATGGTTGTTTTTAACTTCTATCCCGGTGAGCGTCCTTTTTGTAGTATGTCGTTTTGTGGTCATGAGAGGGACAGTTCGGTCCTGTAACTGTTCTTAGTTTTTGTTCCTTGACCGTTTTTTGTTTAGTTGTTTGTTAACACTTTAAGTCCCTGAAAGTTTTTACGTTAACTCATTCCGTCTGTCTGATTTTCCGCTCACCACATTGCTATCTGAAGGTTTCACTGCCCATGTAACTTCAAGAATGGTATGTCTAGTGGCAGTCCTGCAGTGTAAATCCTAAAAACCTCACTCATTAACCAAGGAATTTAAAATTATACAACAGCTAAATCAAGAAAAATATGAGGACGTTCAATTATTTTCTGTTTGTTCCGTAGTGTAGCCCACTATATCCATATTTTCCCCTTTTTCATATTGCTGCTTTCATGCTGACCTTGATTATTGACAAGATGTGTTGTCTTATCATCTGAATTGTCAGTTCTAGTCTGTGTTGTATTTACTATTCTGTTGATTAAGACTTTGACGAAACTTTCTGTTGTATTTTTTGCCCGTCCTTGCTATTCCCTCTGTTAAGCTTTCAATTCACAAATTGTGTTGTATTTAATACACCTCGGCTGTAGGGACGACTGTTAAACCCCAGCAATTGTTCGCTTGGCACTGGCGTGTTTAATAACTCCAGTAAGTAATACTATTATTGAGACGGCGTTTTCTCTTGTATCATCAGTCAAAGCAAAAGCTAGAAATAGAATGTAGCTTCTGAAAGCAATAGTGAGAAAAAGAACAGAGCTGCTTTTATCTGGCACATTTGCAAGAGTTTTACTGTACCGTCGGCTCTGTGGCTAAGTCGATGCGAACGCTTCGTAATGCCGGGATGACAGGTAACCCAGCTGCGGGCCATGCGCCTTGCGTTGGTTTCGACAGTGGTATCAAGAAAGCCGATCGTCCAGAAAGCAATGGCAAACTAATGGACGTAAATTTGCCTAGAAAAACCACGCAACAGTCAGGGGCTGTAGGGGTTGGTTCTGCAACGTCCTGTAAAGGATACGCAACTAACCTTTTACAGTACCACCCTAAAATGTTTTGAAAAAAAACCTGTCTACTGACAAAGTGTAGTGTGCTGATTTTAATGGAGGCGATGGAGATGATCTTGATTTAGAGCTTTTCTAATAACGCATGAATTTGCAACTGTTTCCTCCTGGCATTTGTGTGTGTGGCAATTTCTAGCCATTAGTTTGCGTTTGTTTTTGTTATTCAAATTGGGAGTTTGCGCATATCGAAGTAACTGCATTTGTCAAGTGGCTCTAAAGCTACAGCCCAAGACTTTCCTGTGATATTCTGTCCATAGAATCATCAAATTCAGCCAGAACAGGTTTTTTTAAGTGTATAGTGTCAATGTTAAAGATAGTCTTAGTGCACGGAGAAATGTCTGTGTCAATTAAATATGTCTTCGTTTTAAGAAAGATAAATTTAAATACTTTAAATTGTAATTGTAATTTTTTTTAATTTTTCTATTGTGTTTTGTGTGTGTGTGTGTGTGTGTGTGTGTGTGTGTGTGTGTGTGTGTGTGTATGTGTGTGTGTGCATTTTCTAGGGGTAACTTTATTTGTTAAAGTTACTATGTTGTAATAATTTGTTGTACAATATACTGTATTTAGATTTTTTTACACTAGTGTTTTGTTTATGTTTTTTTTGGGGGGGGTGGGGGGTGGGGGTGGGGGGGGGGGGTCTTGTAACATTCATACGTGGAGTACTTTTTTAAAAGTCGTCCCAAGGAGGGATGTAATATTTTTGTTTAAAGCCCCACCCTGGCTTCTGGGCATAGATAGGGCCTAGCCATAGATGTGGTCTAAAGGTTGAAACGGGTTTCTGGGACCTCTCCATGGGTAATCCCCATTCGCATGGTGGCACTTTGTGTCACCGGGTGTTTATCGCTTGTGTGATGTCCTGGTGTGGTACATCTACCTACCTACCATTCATACGTAGAGTTGGCATGAAAGTGTCTTGAAAGAAACGAAATCATTGAGGTAACTAGTTACTAGCATCAAAAAAGAGACAATCGAAGATTGTGTCGATAGCAGAGTTATTGTCAGTTGAGTTTATCCTCCTCCTCCTTCTCTTCCTCTTCTTTTTCTTCTTCTTCGTTCGCCATTAAAAAGGATGATTGACACGCTGCGTTGTGGTTAACAACTAAGCGACGAAATCTGCCTTTCAACCGAATAGCCTCAGTTTAAGAAAACTCCTAACTGGTAGTCGGCTCTGTGGCTAAGTCGATGCGAACGTTTCGTAATGCCGGGATGCCGGGTTCGATCCCAGCTGCGGGCAATGCGCCTTGTGTTGGTTTCGACAGTGGTATCAAGAAAGTCGACCATCCAGATAGCGATGGCAAACTACTGGACGTAAATTGCCTAGAAAACCCACACAACAGCCAGGGGCTGTTGGGGTTGGTTCTGCAACGTCCTGTAAAGGATACACAACTAACCTAACCTAACCTAACTGGTCGGCTTTTACAACATGCTTGTTAGTGGTCAGTCGGTCTATTATATTTCCAAAATAGGGAATCAGAGCCCATTCCTGAAGGTTGTAATCGAGCTGATATCAAGAAAAAACATCACTACACAAACTATGCATGCTAAGCCAAGGCCTTCTCTATTTATTAGAGAAGGCAGTGGTTAAGCTAAGGTTAGTTGAGGTTAGTCACTAGAGTCTGCTCAAGAACCAGCCTTTGCGTCACTAGAGTCTGCTCAAGAACCAGCCTTTGCGTCGCTAGAGTCTGCTCAAGAACCAGTCTTTGCGTCACCAGAGTCTGCTCAAGAACCAGCCTTTGCGTCACTAGAGTCTGCTAAAGAACCAGTCTTTGCGTCACTAGAGTCTGCTCAAGAACCAGCCTTTGCGTCACTAGAGTCTGCTCAAGAAACAGCCTGTGCGTCACTAGAGTCTGTTCAAGAACCAGCCTGTGCGTCACTAGAGTCTGCTCAAGAACCAGCCTTTGCGTCACTAGAGTGTGCTCAAGAACCAGCCTTTGCGTCACTAGAGTGTGCTCAAGAACCAGCCTTTGCGTCACTAGAGTCTGCTCAAGAACCAGCCTTTGCGTCACCAGAGTCTGCTCAAGAACCAGCCTTTGCGTCACCAGAGTCTGCTCAAGAACCAGCCTTTGCGTCACTAGAGTGTGCTCAAGAACCAGCCTTTGCGTCAGTCTGCTCAGGAACCAGCCTTTGCGTCACTAGAGTCTGCTCAAGAACCAGTCTTTGCGTCACTAGAGTCTGCTCAAGAACTAGTCTTTGCGTCAGTAGAGTGTGCTCAAGAACCAGTCTTTGCGTCACTAGAGTGTGCTCAAGAACCAGTCTTTGCGTCACTAGAGTCTGCTAAAGAACCAGCCTTTGCGTCAAAAGAGTCTGCTCAAGAACCAGCCTTTGCGTCACTAGAGTCTGCTCAAGAACCAGCCTTTGCGTCACTAGAGTGTGCTCAAGAACCAGCCTTTGCGTCACAAGAGTCTGCTCAAGAACCAGTCTTTGCGTGTTGGTTATTATTGTGTGTTCTAGTTTCAGTTTTCTTCTTCTTCTTCTTTTCTCTACTCCTGATATGCCCTGCAGCTTCATGTGAGGAAGAGATCTCTAGAACGGACCCCTTGCGGCGTCAGGTGAGGAATAGGTCGCTAGAACGGGCTCTTCTGTTCTTTTCTTATATAGTACTTTTCAGTGTCTCTGATATTTCTGTGGTCCATATTCTGCGTGGTCAACGTCTGGGTCTGTTACAACTGTATCTGTACATCATTGCTCTTTGTGGTGCCCTGTCTGCTGCCAATCTTGTCACATGGCCAAACCATTTGATTTGTTGCCTACCTATAAAGTTCAGTATTGGTTCTGTGTCGATTCTCCTCCTGATATCATCGTTCCTAAGTCGATCTTTTCTCGTTACACCTAGCATAGTATGTAAGCATTTCATTCCTGTCATGACCATTTCACTGTGTGTCCCCCAAAAAATAAGGACTCCTCTTTCTGTTTTTTTATTAGTTGTGTTCGGGTCTTAGCCTCTTCGAAAGATGTCTGGATTCTCACTCTGGCATTTTTAACTGTCTCTTCAGAAGATTGTCACAAAGGGAGACTCATCATCATCATGTAGCAGTTCCTTTGCAGAACGTCACTCTCATCACAGTCTGCCTGTAAGAAACTCAGTCGCTTGCCAGTTCTCCCGCCTACTTTTTTAAAATTTGGTGGGTTTGACCCACAGGCACAGATATCACATTCATTCATTCATTCATTCATTCATTTATTCATTCAGTCATTCATTCATTCATTCATTGTCCAGTTGTGCCATTATGTATCACATGGGTCTCACAGTTTATTCTTCGATTCCATTCTATCATGTGCAAACAGTTCCATATCACGGATGAAATTCATAGTCCAGATA